TCTCTTACTCTAGAGTAAGAGGTGCTCAGCTGCAGGTGCACTCTGGGCCTGCCTGCATGCCCTGCCACACATGCTCCACCACACTCTCTAAGAGTGCATGTGTGGCAGGGCAGGCAGGCCTGGAGCTTAGCTGCAGGTACACTCCTGCAGGTACACTCCTGAGCTCCAGGCCTGCCTGCATACACCACCAGACACACACTCTCTTTAAAAGGCAAGGAGGCAAGTTTGGATGTGAACGAATGCAGGCTTTCATGTTGAGAGTTTTGTATGGGGAGGGGGCTTCCCATTTCATGCTTTTGAAGAAACAGAAGACACGAAAGAAACAGTAGAAATGGTAGGAACAAATTCTGCGCACAACTCTAGTTAGTACTACTTACGGCATTTAGGCATCACTTATAACTTAGTGCACAGAGTTAATACCATACTAGGAAGCAAAAAAGCTGTCACAATCACACAAATTGCAGTTACTGTTGTGTCTATTTCTCACAGGGAACTGTGTATGTGCCTTCATGCCCTCTGTCAATTTATGGCAAACCCACGTATTCCATAGGGTTTTCTTAGGTAAGGACTACTCAGAGTTGTTTTTGCCTGTTCTTTCCTCTCAAATATAGCTGACAACATCTGGTATTTGTTGGCAGACTCCCATCCAAAGATTAACAAGGACTGGCTCTGCTTAGTTTCGATTATCAGATGGGGCGATGTTTCCTAAAAACTGTGCTCATGTGAATCTGGCTCTCTTTGTTGGTCCTCACATGCACATATACGGGGCCTGCCAAATGCTGAGGGGGGAGCTAAAACAGATAAAAGACTTCTTGTGGCACTCTGCAGCAGCATTTTTTGCTTTGGTTTTTTCTATCTATTCTCTGGCCTATGCTTTTTAGAATCTGGAGAGACATCATAGTCTTATACAGGGATAATGTAATAGCAATGCTATTTTTATATTTCTATCATAGTTCGGGAAAGTTAGATTATTTGCTAGTATAAACAAGGCAGTGTTTGTTTCAAAATGCTTCAACAACAGAGAAGACAATTCAAAGTAAATCAAGACATTATGGTATAATACAATTTTATCCAATTAGGTTAACACTAGTTTTAATATTATAAAACAACTATATATTTGATATAGAAATAAACAGACTAGTATACTAATATATATCTATATATTCTATTCTTTCAGATGCAATAAATATTAGATATAATCTATAGACTCTGTTCCATATTAATTTCATATAGGTGATAAAATCTCTATTAGAAATATAAGCCGGGATCCATTTATATAAGCTTGGTTATGAAAATCATTAAACCATTCCATGTTTGTAATAAATGCCTTTGTAATATATACTGTAGAAACAAAACCTGGCTACAAAAGATAGCTCTGTACTTCAATATAGTTTCTTTTGCAAATCAAATGACTTGTGGGATGTTGTGTGGTTTCCAGGCTATTTGGCCATGCTCTAGCAGCATTTTCTCCTGACACTTCATCTGCTTCTGTGGCTGGCATCTTCAGAGGCTCAGCCACAGAAGCAGGCAAAATGTCAGGATAAAATGCTGCTATAACATGGCCATACTGCCTGGAACCCACAACATCCCAGTGATTCCAGCCACTAAAGCCTTCGACAACAGAAAGAAATTATTTCAAATGTGGACCATTTGAAATACTGAAGATAGATTCACCTCTGATAGACCCACATGCATATTTTGAATCGATTTTTGCATGAGTACTTTGGAATATGGTCACAATATACATCCAAAACATAATTTATTTGTGTTATTTTTAAATTCACTTTGTTGCAGAACGGAAGCATTAGCAGGAACTAATCACTGGAAAGGATTGATAAAGGAATGGGTGTTCAGGTGACACTCTCCTGTTGTAAGCTATGATGCCTGGGTATCACACAGATCCATTTGTCAGGGGACAGAGCTAGACAGCCAGTCAATCATTCTTATCCAATTATGACTCCTCTCTCTGGCTTGATGAGGAAGTCAATGTACTAATTAAAATTATGTGAACTCCAAAAATGACATCATTTGCTCACTTTTCCTTATTGTTTAGATACATCCCATACTTTTAATCTGTAGAATTCATTTTTAAAAAGCAAGTTTACCTGATAAAAAATTGCATCAGAGCTCCAAATATGATGGTGTTCTGCTACTTTGAAAAGAAAGCCATATAGAGATGTAATTTTCCTCCTCTGCTCGGGATAACTGTAAAGCACTTACTATTCAATCTATAAGCAATAAAGAATCTCTTGTTTTCCTTGGCATCTTTTATCTTCTATGGACTTCCTCTCTATATTGACTTTGCTTCAGTAATGAAACCACCCAGCACATGCACTATGCACTTGTTAAAATGTACTGCTATTCAAGGAAACTGACTCCAACCTTGAATCCAAACCCACAAACTGATTCAGAGAAGTATCTTTGAGTAAGGTGAAATGGAACCAAACCCTAAAATCTTAGAACCCAATCTTAACCCTTGAAACTACAAGTCGCTTTAGGTGTGAGAAAATTGGCTATCTGCAAGGACGTTGCCCAGGGGATGCCTGGATGTTTTACCATCCTTGTGGGAGGCTTCCCTCATGTCCCTGCATGGGGAGCTGGAGCTGACAGAGGGAGCTCATCTCACCAGATTAAAACCTCCGAACTGTCGGTCTTCAGTCCTGCCAGCACTAGGGTTTAACCCATTGCACCACCGAGGGCTCCTTGTAGTTTCTCAAGTCACTTCTGGCACGAAAAGAAACCCCTTAAAACAAAAACTCATAAATAGCTCAATAATCAGAATATTTAAAAAAATAGTTGAGGATGTTGCAAAGGGATATTTCTCTTTTACAGTTACAAAATTTAAGAAGTGTTACTGTAGAAAAAGACATTCAACATAGAAAGAATATTTGGGCCTCAAAATGAACTGTGTCCACTTAAGAGTCAGTAATGCCTAACATGGTTGTGTCCTGGTTGTTTCACAACCTGAAGGTGGAATCATGATGTTAAAGCTTCCCCAGTCTGGTACATCTGAATTGGAAGACTGAGATTCCACAGCAGCTCAACTAATTTTGTTGGTTTACACTCAAGCCTAAGTGCCACATTTGCATTCACTCTCACCTCTGCCTTTAATAGTGGCTTCAGGACAGAATTAAATATAATGGCAGCATCAATAGTAATTTTATCTGCATTATGTTAATCCCTAGAAAAATTATTAACATATAAAAAATGGATGGAACCACGATCATCTCCTGGGAATAGACTACAATGAAGATTAAAACTGGCCCTGGGTTACTGAACACCTAAGGGCAATGTAATAGGCACTGGAGACAATGGCGATGCTCTTATAAAATATGAAAACTTCTACTTGCATTACAAAAATAAAACGATGTGAAATACAGGAGTCAAATTATTCCTCACTAAAGACAAGAAAATATTTAAAATCATCTTCTCAAAATATAAACTAGGTAAAGGTGCATATCAAGTGTTGTTAACATTTAAGTTTGATCATTTTCAGTAGGGAATATTTCTTTAAAAAAGTACAAAATGTAGAACAAATGGAATCACTATGCTAACTTTCATTTCTTATCATAAATTATGATATAAATCCTGTTGCTATATATCACCAATAAAACATAGATTCACTATTAAGTTAGTAATCCACATTTCTCACTTATTTTAGATTTTCAGAAACCATGTAATACAATAATAATTGTAATAATACAGTAATACCCAATCATTTAAAATTATATACTTCTGTTTCTACAGCTAAAATTTCTGGTACCAATTACATTTTTTGACTGTCATTTCATTTCAATTCAGTAAGCAACACTCATTTAAAATTCCCTCCAAGGACTGAATCTCTCCTTTATTCTGGAATTTATGCTATGATACTGAATTTATATGTGCTTTTCTCTAAGAGACTTGCGGTTTTGAAATTATACAAACAATTCGTACCATTGCCTTTGCAATTAAGCAAGAGTATCCTATTGTGGAAAACTATATAATGTGTTTTGCTTTAAATACATTGTAATTTATATAGAACAGAAAAGGCTATGATTTAAAAACTTTCAAGGAATGAAAAATTAAGGAATGTAAGCACAAGGAATTAGCTCCTTATAATGTATTTCTAAAGCTGGGTTGTTGTAGGTTTTTCGGGCTATATGGCCATGTTCTAGAAGCATTCTCTCCTGATATTTTGTCTGCATCTATGGCAGGCATCCTCAGAGATTGTGAGGTCACAAACCTCACAACCTTTAAGGATGCCTGCCATAGATGCTGGCAAAACGTCAGGAGAGAATGCTGTATAGAGTATGGCCATATAGCCCAAAAAGCCTAAAACAATCCAGTGATTCTGGCGATGAAAGCCTTCGAAAATATATTTCTAAATCTGTTTTCAAGCTTGAAAGTATATCATGTCCATGGTTGCGCTCTCATTCCTCCCTCTCTTCTCCGTCCATGACCTTTGCCATAGCTTTCCAATATCTCATTGTGAATTAAGTTTAATTATTCTGATGCAGTGTAATATAATTGATTCTATGGACTGGCTGAACAGCTACAGACTCTGTTGATAGCAAATCATGGGGAAAGTCACTTCCAGCTGTTTTCCTGCACTATCTGAATATATGGGGGAAATAATACAGAAGTGTCCAATTTTTCCTGCTCCATTGCTTACGATGAGTCTGTTACACTGGAAATAGGCTGTTGCCTCACAACCTGATTGTCTTTTGTGTGGACAGGTTACATGTAGAACGGGAGGGAACATTAAAGCAGCAGCACCAAAGATGGCAGGAGTAACAACAGTTTGAGTGATAGTCAGTCCCACACAAGCTGTTCCCATGAAACTCAATCTTGGATCCATGAATCTCAGCACAGTCCCAATCACTGCCTCAGCAAAGCTGATAGCAACAGGCTGTTGTCTGTATTGAATACTATTTGTTTTCTTAGCCTGTTTGTGTATTGATGCTTGTATCTGTGTTGGTTGCTCTCCAAAGTACAAGCAAAGGTTAAAAAAAAATCTAGCAAGGATGAGTCCCTCAGTAGCAATCTCTGTATCTCTTTTCAAGTGTTTACTTTACAAAATTTCAAAGAGTTGGGACTAAAATATTCTATGCAAAAGAAATTATACAAGAATATTCTGAGAAGTACGCCATTAAAAAACGAAGTGTGTGTGGCAGGGTGGTAGCTGAGAAAGGTTAACTGTAAAAGAAAAGTCATCTTTCGGTTGATTAATTAATAGCCACTACTGGCAACCCAACGGATGTCTTCATTCTACATTTCTGTATTTGGTGAAGAGATTGTATAACACTCTCAGAGTGGACTTCAAGTCACAATTCACAATGTCTAAAAGGAGAAGAGAAAAAAGGAGAAGCAGGATGAGCTCTTTGAATGACACAACAGTGTATAAAATGAAAAAGTTCAGATTTGGAGTATAACTATTTTTGTATCCAAAAGGTAAAAAGCTTCATTGTAAATATATCATTTCCAACAGGATTTTAGCACCTGTCTCTGTAAGTAGATGTAAAACTAGCTCCAGGCTTGCACAATCTCTGATCCATCAAGCCAAATGCTACCCACCCAATACCTCAATGCAGCACACCATTTCAATGTAAATCTGTCTTGACATAATAAACCCTAATGGGTTGGTATGCTCTTTTTGACTTCGTTATGGGAGCCTGCTATTACAGCAGCTGAAAAGTGTGAAGTTTCTAAAACGATATCACCAAACAAATCGGCATATTTTCTTTTATAGCCACTGACCAACAAGAGGAATTTCAACTTTTTGTAAAAGGGAAACCCCAAGTGATGCTACTATGCAAAAAAGGGGATGGCCTCCTAGAGCTGCCTGGGATGCCTTATTAGAACTGTTGGAATGCCAGACTTGGCTCCATGGCCCAAGGCTTTCTGTCCTCATTATAAAAATGATTAAGCTGATGCTCATTATTACTAGAGATAAATACATTTCAAATCTAATAATAATCAGAATTAATAATAATAATATCAGTAATAATATGGTACTTATTACATGTGTTTAATCTCTGAAAATGACACGAAACATCATATAACATGAACATTTCAAACACCAAATCAACATCTATAGGGTAAATTCTAGTTATACCATAGGGTGACATATTCATAAAAAATGCTGTCCAGCAACCAGGAAAAAGAATGGTGATAATTCGTTAGTGAAATCAGTAATATCCCAAGGCCATCATCATGTAGGTTTTTATGACTGAAAAACATTTTATGGTTTACCAAATTTAATTATACACTATTATTATCATATACAATGTAACAATTCATTTGACTTAGGCTACCAACAAGCACTAAGGCCGCATGTAGAATGAATACTGACATTTTATGGTGCGGGCCCTCAGATCTACCGAGGAGGCCCTTCTCTCGGTCCCTCCATCTCAAATGCAGTTGGTGAGGATGAGAGAGAGGGCCTTCTCAGTGATGGCACCCCAGATTTGGAATGCCCTCCCTAAAGAGATTAGGGTTGTCCCCACCCTCTGGGTTTTTTGGAAATGCCTAAAAACATGGTTATTTACACAAGCTTTTGACCATGTTTATGAATTATGATCATTATATTTGATGGTTAAATACAATATCTGTCATAATAAAGTGCACTCACTATTTTATATCTTGTCAGGGTTTTAAAAAAGTATTCTTAATTGATAGGGGGTTTATTGCTCTTTTATGTGTAATTGGGTTAATTTATTGTTATTATTATTATTTTTATTTTGTTGCACTATGGAGTGCATTCTGTGAGCCACCCCAAGTCCCTTCATGGTGATGGTGGCGGGATACAAATAAAATTTATTATTATTATTATTATTATTATTATTATTATTATTATTTTCTTGCAATTTGGGATTTTTTGGTCTTTTCAGGACATCCTGACAATCTGCATTCCAAATATTTCAAACTTCCAATTGGGTCAAGAATGTGAGTAAATGCTGATATTCTAGTCTTAATTATTAATGGCAGCCAATAGAAGAAATTCTTCCATGCAACTTCTAGGGCTAAGAACCCTAGAAATTTTTTTCTGGATTTAAAAACAGGCATTGCTTGCAATTCAACAAAATGAAGGTTGATAAAGACACCATATTACTATTTTCGCAGCAGCTAAATGCAGTTGTTTAGCTGGGGAAGTGGAGAATCCTAGTTATTTTTATATCATTACTTTTGGGGGGAAAAACAATCATTCATCCAAGCAATTATAGTATTTAAAAGCTATTTTGTATTCACATTTAAATTATTAAGTTCATTTTCAATACCCTCATGTTTGCTGGAAATTTTAATCATGGCATTCTGCCCAGCATAACCACATATAAAACAGATGTGTTTTTCCATTCACATCGAGCAGGAAGTTTCATATTAAGCTTTTCAGTAATTGCCCAAGAAATGTTCAACACACACACACAAACATGCAAATGAATGCTGGAATGTCCATATTGTTTGATTTACCCTGGAAAAAAGCCCAGCCATCTCTTCAAGCAATAAATACCTGGAAAACTTCAAATACTATAATGACATTAACTGTCCCCAAGGGACAGGGAATCATGGTAATTCTCCGCTTTCATTCTGGCTCTAAAATTCCCATTCTATCTCCAGTCACTCTGAGTGAGGCCATATGTTAGAAGTCAACAATTATTCCATATAAACAAATTGCAAAGAACAGTTTCTACCAACATTTTAAAAACCTCCCTCTGTTTTGGCTAATATTGCATGATTGCATTCACAATGTTTCCAGTGTTTTTTATTTAAACACAACAAAATCCAAGGCAGCTGAAGTGCATAATGAGATAGAAGTATATGTGGGAGCATTACAACAGAATATTTTGGATCAAAGCTGGGTGACTCAAGGCCCACAAGCCCACACACAGCCCTTGGCTTTCTGCTGCTGAGCCATAGGGTGCCCTTGCATCTTTTCATATTTACCCAGTCATCAGCCAGGTGATGGAGAAATGACAGATGTCCTAGGCTGTCATTGGACGTCTTTGCCAAGATCAATGGGAGGGTTGAGGTTTTAATTTACCCACAAGAATCACAACGTAACTAAGATCACTATTCTGACTGATGCGGCAGAGGGGAGACAGCAAATCTGGCTGCATCTGAAGAACCAGGGGTAAAAAGCTCAACATCCACCAACAGTGATCCCATCCTTATGAAGACGTTACTTCCACTCAGCCAAAGTATTGCTTAAAGGGCTGGTAAAAGAATGGAGTGGATTCGCATCTCTCCTTATGAACCAGTGCAGGCTCTAAGATCTGCTGGGAAAGCCCTCTCACTTCCACCACCATCACAAGCGCAGTAGGTGGGGACAAGGGAGAGGGCCTTCTCGGTGATGGCCCCTCGACTTTGGAACACCCTCCACAGGGAGATTAGGCAAGCCCACACACTGTCCTCCTTTTGTAGGGAACTGAAAACCTGGATGTTCCAGCAGGTTTTTGAGAATGACTAGTCCCTAAGTCCAGTTCTTAGATCATCAGATAGTCATCTGTTCTGCTGTTTGCACTATCCCTTGCCCAGCCCTTTTAAATTGATTAGGTCCATTTTTAACACTCCTGGCCACTGCTATTGTTGAACCTCACTTGATCGAGCTTCAGTGTATTCAGTTTTATGTCGCATTTTAGTGTGTTTTATCAGGTTTTTTTTGTATTTTATTATGTTTTTACTTTATTTTAATTTTATTTCTTATTTTTATTTTTTTCTATTTTGATTATCAAGTTATCATTATGTTGTTTTCTATTGTCTAATTTTGTTTTTTTCCTGATGTAAACTGTTTGTATGGTTTTTCTTTGGACACTGAATGTTTGCCATATTTGTTGGAAGGTGTAGTGGAATCTACCTTTAAGACGACAAGGCCGAAGCCTGCATGACAGTAGCTGTCATCTTGGAAGGCAGGCAGAGACAGGAGGAGGAGTCAAGCCGACTCCTGATTGGGTATAGCAATTGGGGGAGGAGTCGGTTGAGAGAGGGAAATAAGCTGTCAGCTCTTGACAGAGAGGGAGAAGTGTCTTGAGATCAGACACAGAAGGATGGAATGTTAAGATAGGAAGTTACAGTAGGAATCTGACAGGGAAAGAAAGTTTTAAGTGAGCCTTTAGAATAGGGAATAAGCAGACAGACAAGGGCTAGGGTTACTGTATTAGTAGGATCAGTAACAGAAAGACTTGTCTGTTTATACTGAGGAAAAGTATAAGAGTGCTTATTTGCCCTGTGGGAGAGACAGATAGGGACCTGTTCTCCAAGTGTTACTGTTCCTAAAGATAGAGCAGTGTGTTTAAGGAATCTCACAGTTGATAAAAGCTTTACTGTCAGTGGAACTACTTGTTTAAGTAACTAAGTCTCTACATCTGAATTACGCTTCTGTACCGCTCATTATATGAGTAGCTGTTTGTTTAAAGTTCAATAAACCCTTTCTAGTTCACTTTTAACTGGTGTATGCCTCAGTCTATCAATCTCCTCAGAACCAAGTCTGTCAAACCCATTTTAAAGTCCAGTCATCCAGTGAAGAAGCAATAGGTGAACCAAGAGCTCAAACACACCTTACCTACAACACATTCACACCTTTGGTTCCTCAGGCCAATAGAAGCTGAGGTGGTGGCAGTCATACCTACCAAGCAACATCGGTCATTGATCTATTCAACTTATGGTCAGCCTCTAAATTTCGTTATATTGGTGGCAGCGGTGGGATTCTTTGTTTCCCCCCTGCCTCAAATATCCTTAAATTTCGTTACAGAAGGGCAGTCTATAAATAAAGTTTATTATTGATTTATGTATGTATGTATGTATTTTCTCTCTATATATTCTAGCATAGGGGGCACCTGAAAACTAAGTTTGTGTGGGTACTCATTGGTGTTCCTGCACCTTTCAAAGTACTTCTCTCTTTCTGATGTCACAAATAGACTCATTCTAAATGAACCATTTTTATTTCCAGTCCTGAGCACTAGGCCCTGAGAAAATAACAATCCCATTGTGATTTTAAGATTTAGGCACATGTGGGCTGACTCAGCCATGTTTTCTCTGCCTTGGCAAAAAATAAAACATGCCTTTTCAGAGCTTGTTTACTGAACTCTGAAAACCTTCTCAAGTTGCTGGAAGGAACAAATGCTATTATAAAGCTCTCTACTATGCTATTTATTCCCTTTACTCCTTTTGGGTAGGACAGAAAACAGAAAAAAGAAAGACTTCCTCCCATTCAGCTCACATGTTTAGCACAAAACCTGTAGCTTTAGATTGATTAGCTAAAGAATCTTGAAAGAAGTATTTTTGTCTCAGAAATCTCTTCCCAAGTTCCTCAAGTGTGTTCAACATGAATTACAACATCCAACTCACCAGAGGAATACAAGAAATGGATGGGTAGAAACAAAATGCATTATTCTTGTCAAGCTATAGGGTCCGTGCCCAGCCTCCACAATAGTTTCAGGGACAAAGTATGTAAAGGAAGCTTGTGTCTATTCCCTTCAGCTTGAATGTGATCAAGGGGACTTTTCTTAGAAAATCATTCCATGTTCACTAAGCCGAAGGAGCTCTTAGCCCTTGCAATGATCAAATGGGTGGCAACCCATTATGTGTTGAGTGCTGTATTTTTTATGCAAGGAAGAGAAAGTCACATCAAATATTTTCAGACTTCTATCTCTCCCAAAGCTGTGGGGAGAGATGAATGGGGCCCCTTAGGAAAGTGTCAAAGATGAGATTACTGCTCAAGTAGTGCTAGATCTTGGATATTTCCTTGCAGGACATGGATGCCGTCCAATTTGTTCGAAATATAATCTGTAAAATTAGCTCTTGAAGTTGACTCTCTTCTTTGTTCCTCATACCTAACTGCCTGCTGTTACTTTTTCATATTGCTGAACTCATGGAATTTTAACACCTATCAGGTATATAGTCCCAACAGGTAGAGACCTTCATGGGATTCATTCTGTATTGAAAGGAATCAGGCTACTCTAACGTTTAATGTTAGAAACCAAGGGGCATATCAGTGTGTTGCCATCTGTTGCCAGCACATTTTATTGATAGAAAGTCTTCAATTTTTCCTTGCTATTACTTTGGAATTCTTCTGGAACTGTGAGGTATAATAGAAACCCTTTGCTCGTTGAGACAAGAATTTTTCCCCTTTACCAATCCCACAATCTCCATAAAGTTCTTCTTCTTCCAAATCAGAATGGCCAAAAGAATGGTCCAAAACATTTGGTTGTAATCCTATTGCTTCAAATCTCATTGCTTAAAACTGAACTTAGGATCACTTAACTTCCTCTGGACTAAGCCCAGCAACTACTGAGAAAAATCAGGAAGATTTACATGCCCACTTGAAAAATTAAGTGTTGACATGTCACTTTATATATTTCTAAAAGCCTAAAAAGCAATGGAAAATGGAAGTAATCCTCAGAATTTTATTAAACTCCATTCATTTTCTGTGACCTATAGTACTTAACCTTCACTCCATAACCTAATTTAAAGCTTCCCTATAATTTTTCAGTGACTTGTACCAATTACAAGATGTACTTCAAAAAGGTCAAGAATGTACCTTCTGGCCTTGGCTTTGGTTTTTCCAGCCCTCCATCTTGCATTAGTTCAAACGCAAAGGACACATTGAGCACCTGGATATTCAATTAACAGAGAGCAATCAGTCACAAATAATAGTACAAAAATCTTATCTATAGCAAGTAATTATTTTGCAGGAAAACTTCAAAAAGTTAGAAGTGTAGAAGATCTATGTCTGTACATTACTCACTGAAATAACTGCCAAATATAATGCTCAATTAATTATTCATGTATTTACTATTCTTTACCTTTATCTATTGCATACACAGAGAAGTTAGTCCATCCTGTAATGCAAATACAAATTCTAGCAACATTACCTTTTGTTCAAAACTATCAGGAGTCAAGAAAAAGCTGTGAAGAGGCACAAAATAGCCTTCAAGAAGACCCATCAGGAGCACCAGATATACACCATCTGCAAACTTTAATATGAAAAGTTTGTAAACACAGATCTTTCACAATGAATAATCTTGATTATCACTTTTATAGTTGGTCCTCGACTTTCACAGGCTGGGGAAAGTGTGAATATCACCAGGCTCCTCAAAATGTATTTAACGCATACACACAGAAGTATCTGCCCTGTCTAGGTAGTTGGGCATTGAGGCATGTGCATTTCCTTGCACACTCATTTGTTGTTGTTGTTTTTTTTTGGGGGGGGTAAGGGGATGGGACAGGAAGTGGGAGGAGAGAGGGTAGGTGGTGCACAGAACTCTGGGGTAAATGCAGGAAGTGCTGTCACTATAAGAAAAGCTGCCACAGTTCTTTCCCACTGCCCTTGAAGTAACTTTATGTCACCACTACCATTCTGCCTTCCTCCTCTCCCCCATTCCACTCTCATCTGCCCTTTATCCTAGGCTTCATATATGAAAGAACTTGCAAAATTACTTTTCATAAAAGTAATTGATTATAGTGTTCTCCATAGTAATTTCCATGAAAATTAGTTTTGTAAAACCTATCCTTTGCTTTTCCATTTCTAAAAAAAGAATAAAAGCCTTTTAATACAAATATCATTAAATATTCATGCTCCAAGATGAAGTCTTGTGTTACTACAAACACACTGTATTGCTATCAAACTCATTCTAGACTCAGTACCTCCAACAGAGTACAATGTCCAGCATACATCAACATATGAATTATGTGATATTCACTGCCATAGTTATAAAAGTCTATTTTATAACCAACTGAAAAGTTACCAGGATTCAAAGCTATCACTTATTATTTTGCCTGATGTTGCAGCCATCAATTTATTTATTTTATTTATTTACTTCATTTATACCCCATCTTTCTCAAGGTGGATAATAACCACACAATCTGGTCACTATTTAAAATAAAGCAAATACAAATAAACCTCAATTAAATAGCGCTTGGTGGATTTAAAGTTACAATACAGTCGAAATATAATACATACAATCAAAATTATGTTTATAACTCACAATCCCCCCAGAATCCCAACCAAAACCTCCTCAGCAGCATGCTCCATATCCTTCCTCAAATGCCCATTGGCACAGAAATGTCTTGAACTGTTTGTAGAAAGCAAGCAGGGATGGGGCCATCCTGGTCCCTCTTGGGAGAGAGTTCCACAGTCTGGGAGCAGCCACCAAAAAGGCCCTCTCCCATGTTCCCACCAAAAATGCCTGAGAAGTGATGAGACAGAGACAAGGCCTTCCCCAGCTGATCACAGAAGCCTGACAGGTTCATAGAAATGCACATGTAGGAGGCATCCCTATTTCCTATGTAATACTTCATACAAGGCCTCCCCTTTATGTAGTGCAAGAGGAAGAAATCTTCATTTGGTCTAAAGGAAGTTCAAAATATTTATGTTCACATACAAAAAGTTTCCTGACTTGGTTGCTTCATTTTTCACATGTATACTGTTAATTTTAAATAAAATGTTTCTGAAACATGTTGAATTGTTTTCCTTTTTTATGGTGTAGGAACTTACCCCTGCTCTTTCCATTTTAATTCTACTTCTGGCACCATTTTTTTCTTAATTGAAATGCATTTCAAGGTTCATAAATGTATGGTTTCTGAGATAAGATGCACTCCATCCTGTTGGCAGTTTCAGGAGGTACAAAACAGGTAATTTCATAGGGAATTTGAAACCAATGGATTTCTTTTCCATCCCTAGCAGTAGCTATGGAGATAGTACAGTGGCACCCTTTCCTTTTCCATTTGCAGTTCATAAAGCTGGATGGTTCACTCACCATCTGTGTGCTAATTACATTTTGCTGGGGAGAAAAGCTATTTCATATTTTTTATGAAGAGAAGGAAGAACAGGTTGCTTACCTATAACTGTGGTTCTGCAATGGTCATCTATGAACTCACACAAATGAGTTGTCAGCGTCTATGCAGAGCATCATTTGGAGCCCCGTAGAACTGTTACGTATTGGGGCACTAGCCCTGACCTCTTCCCACATGCCATGTTAGCACACTTTCTGCATTTGCCCTCAATTCCCTATAGGCTTTTTTGTGTGTCAGTTGCCACTTGAAAAACTGCAAGTTGCTTCTGGTGTAAGAGAATTGGTCGCCTGCAAGGACGTTGCCCAGGGGACACCCAGATGTTTTGATGTTTTACCGTTCTTGTGGGAGGCTTCTCTCATGTCCCAACATTGGGAGCAGGAGCTGACAGAGGAAGCTCATCCGCACTCTCCCAGGATTCGAACCTCTGACCTGTCAGTCTTCAGTCCTGCTAGCACAAAGATTTAACACACTGTGCCACCAGGGCCTCTCTACAGGCTGAAGCAGCAGCCAAGGACTTAAAGAAAGGCAGGACATGAGGGGAGAATGGCCAATATTGTGTGAGTTCATAGATGGCCATTCAAACAACCACAGTTACAAGTAAGAAACAATTCCTTTGAGTCTGGATCCAGAAAATAAGGCTAATTCTTGTGAATGGGACAAGTGATGGTTATGCCCTATTGGTCATAATACAGATAAATGCTTAACCTGAATATTTAAAGGAACTATCAGTAATGGCATTTTTGTGGGTCTAGACCACAATCCAAATCTACATAATTGGAACAGTTACTTGATCTTCAATATTAATGTTGGGAATGTGCCATGGGCTCTGACTCCCCCTGACTCCAGCATAAGGCTTTCTACCTCCCATGTTTCTCTTGCACATACTTTCTTCCCTGTTTTAGGCCTTCTCTCTTTATGGTTTGTCATAATATCAAAATCTGGCAACTATGCCATCATCTGAAGTGGACTGGCAAACCAATCCATAAAGTATAAATTTAGCTGCTGATGTCATAGGAAAATGGTTTCAATACGTTCATTTTTAAAAAGAGTCAAAAGAAGCCTCTAGACTTAAAAAACCAAGAAAATAGCACATGGCAGTATTCCTATCTACTAAACAAATCCATATAATCCTACCTGGGTTTCCAGTTCTGTAACTTCCAAATTCAGCTTATTCAGGTGTTTATTCACAAAAGTGATGAGCGTCTGAAAATTAAGAACATGCTCAGCAACGTTCATATCAGCAAAATTTAACTTTTTTTTTAAAAAAAATATGGCAATGAAAAAAGGAAACACTGCAATTCAAAATATTAACACATTTATAGTCTGTCAGCTGATGAGAGAAGGGAAAACCATGTGAAAGATTATAAAAACAAAATACACAAAGAATTCATACAGTGGTCTGATGTTTATGATTAAAGATCTGTATAGTAACTGTGGGAGTTATATAATGAAGACTACTGTTGAAAAAAAAAGTATTAGTGCCAAGATGTAGTTTATTTATTTATTTATTTATTTCTGCTACTTATACCCCGCCCTTCTCACCCCCAAGGGAGGACTCAGGGCAGCTTACAAAAAGAAGGCACAATTCGATGCCCTTATCCAAATACATACATATATAAAACAATTACCATAATTAAACAATTAACAGATTAAAAACATCAATATATAACACAATAGCACAACAATAAACAGTCTCATGGTCAGTGTTTCGAGTTCCATAGGTCCAATAGGTTTCGTCATTATTTGCCCATCATTATGGTCTTTCTTTTTAGCTGCCAGAGTTTCCAAAAGCCTGGTCCCACATCCAAGTTTTCAGCTTTTTCCTGAATGAGAGAAGGGAAGTCGCTGATCTGATCTCCCCGGGGAGTGAGTTCCACAGGTGGGGGGCCACTACTGAGAAGGCCCTGCTCCTCGTCCCCGCCAGTCTCACTTGTGATAGAGGCGGGGTCGAGAGCAGGGCCTCCCCAGAAGATCTTAGACTCCGAGGTGGGACGTAGAGGGAGATCCGTTCGGACAGATACACTGGGCCGGAACCGTATAGGGTTTTGTAGGTCAAAACCAGCACTTTGAATTGTGCTCGGAATTGGATCGGCAGCCAGTGGAGCTGACGCAACAGGGGGGTGGTATGCTCCCTGTATGCCGCTCCGGTGAGCAATCTGGCTGCTTCTCGCTGGACTAGTTGAAGTTTCCGAGCAGTCTTCAAAGGCAACCCCACGTAGAGTGCGTTGCAGTAATCCAGTCGGGATGTGACAAGAGCATGGACCACCGTGGCCAGATCCGACTTCCCAAGGTACGGGCGCAGCTGGCGCACAAGTTTTAATTGTGCAAAAGCTTTCCTGGCCACCACTGAGACCTGGGGCTCCAGGCTCAGCGATGAGTCCAGGATCACTCCCAAGCTGCGAACCTGCGTCTTCAGGGGGAGTGTAAGCCCGTCTAACACAGGCTGTAACCCTATACCCTGTTCGGCCTTACGATTGACCAGTAGGACCTCTGTCTTGTCTGGATTCAATTTCAATTTGCTAGCTCTCATCCAGTCCGACACAGCAGCCAAGCACCGGTTCAAGGTCTGGACAGCCTCCTTGGTGACAGGTGGGAAGGAGTGACAGATTTGGACATCATCTGCATAGAGATAACATCTCATTCCGAAACTCCGAATGATCTCCCCCAGCGGCTTCATGTAGATGTTAAATAACATCGGGGACAGAATTGAACCCTGTGGGACTCCACACAGCAACGGTTGTGGGGCCGAACAGGTGTCACCCAATAACACCTTCTGGGACCGACCCTCAAGGAAGGATCGGAGCCACCGCAGAGCAGTGCCCCCGAGCCCCATGTCCATGAGGCGTCCCAGAAGGATACCGTGATCGACGGTATCGAAGGCCGCTGAGAGGTCCAGCAGAACTAACAGGGACACACTCCCCCTGTCTAGTTCCCTGCGCATCATCCACTAAGGCGACCAAGGCTGTCTCGGTACCATGTCCCGGCCTAAAGCCAGACTGTGCCGGATCTAGATAATCCGTGTCTACCAAGAATACCTGGAGTTGTGAGGCCACCACACGTTCCAAGACTTTGCCCAAGAAGGGGAGATTGGAAACTGGCCGATAGTTGTCGAATTGAGTGGGGTCCAGTGATGGTTTCTTCAACAGCGGTTTTATTATAGCTTGTTTTAAGCTCGCTGGAAACTCTCCTTTCTGTAAGGAGGTATTATGTTAAATAGAACTGTTCCCTTTAAGGAAGCTGTGCTGATCTGTATTATCTGGAAATCATATGGCAAAGTTCTATAAAATGAATATTCCAGTTACTCCTCAAGTGCTAAGTCACATAAGAACTATGACTGCAATTCTCTATCATGTTCTAAGTTATGTCACTGGTATCACTAGGATTGGAACCCCTGGTGGTGCAGTGGGTTAAACTGCTGAGCTGCTGAACTTGCTGACCAAAAGGTTGGTGGTTCAAATCTGGGGAGAGGGGTGAGCTCTCACGGTTAGCCCCAGCTTCTTCAAACCTAGCAGTGTGAAAACGTGCAAATGTGCGTTGATCAATAGGTACTGATCTGGTGGGAAGGTAACAACGCACCATGCAGTCATGCCAGTCACATGACTTTGGAGGTGTCTACAGACAATGCCAGATTTTTGGTTTAGAAATATAGATGAGCAGTGCACCACCCCTCAGAGTTGGACATGACTAGACTTAATGTCAAGGAGAACCCTTTACCTTTTATAGAATTAGTGTCACCCAGTGTGGGGAAGGGAGGCAGCCCTTGGCAGCTGGAAGCTCATACAGCTCCAGAAAGCCAGTCACCCTTGCCACCCCAGACAACCCAGCTGGTGGCTTTCTTTCCCTCAGAACAGCCCTGCCATGGCTTGGCCAGGTACTTCCAGTGCCATGTGAGCAAGAGGAAAGTTGAGTCACCCTTCCCGGATGGAAATCCCCTTCCCACAGTTACAGCAACAGGCACTTCTCCTCTGGCAGCTTTCTTTTGAAAAAACAGAGGCAGTGGTAAGGAACTGGTTTGTTGTCAGGGGGAAAGGAGACTGTAGCTGAGGGCAACTAAGCTTGTTAGGGGGAACAAATAGAAGGGGAGAGGAAGAAAAAGCTCCCCCACTATTGCAAGTGGAGGGCTAGAGAGGGTGCCACTCTGGGTGAGACAATGATTTTTAGTGTCACCCTCTCTGATGTGTTATTCAGTATGGCCTGCACTCCCCACATCTCCCAAGTGATGCCACTGTGTTATGTGACTTATGTTTAGCTGTGTAGCAGATGCACTAAGGAATCTTAGTAAACAGTGAAGATGTGTGACAGGATGCTGGCAATAGTGCCGTGATGCTCATTGGGCTAACAACATGCATCAACACTTCCTAACTGATGTCCCAATGCACAGCAGGTTGGTTGTGCATTGGGATCAATGTGCATTAGTCCTGTGGTGCATCGGTCACTTTGCTGGCTCTCTTATGTAGTAGCATAGCAGCAGCCCCTGCCTGGATATGGATGTTAAGAAACTGTCCAGTTGTAATTTGGTCAGATGTAAGTCCATTTACCAAGATCTAACAGAAAACAATACAATATTTACATTATCAAACAACAGAGACGTTCATAAAGAAATGAACTGAGTACAATATTGACTGTGGATTTTATGTAATACTTTTCACATTTTTGTGTTGTTGCTATTCATGCAGCCTTAGCTAGCACACAATTTACTGTGTAACAAACAAGGTTGACAGGCATTATTTCTAACATTTTTGGCATGTGGTAGGCTATACCAAAGGGAAAAGAACTAAACAATGTGAACTTCTTTGCCAACTTCAACATTTTCAATTTAAAATAGTTGTATCTAAGTTCTGCACTTTTTTCATCCTTTAAATGCATCATATCAGAAACAAAACAAAACAAAATTCTAACCTTTTTCACAACATTGAGTTTATCTGGAGCATGATCAAACAGTGTATCAAATGCATCTCGTTCTGAAACACAGGTGATGACAACAAACTATTAGATAATGGAAAATTGAAAGATGATTATTTCACTCTGGAACAGCCTTGTCATTTATAGTTTACTGAGACTAGATTCTACATAACCAAATCATCTTTGATCTTTGTTTCCCAAATTCATCTTTCAAGCCCACATATTCTAAAATTGCTTTCTCTCAGACTATAGTATGCATAAAGATTATCATAAAGCAGATTGGCATGTTTTGTTAAATGCCCTTAAACTATTGCTGTGCAATATTTACAATGATTTGAAAAATCAATTAGGTCTGAGGCAAACAATGGATATTCACAGAACAGTTGAAAGCCACATGACATTCCTTAGTTCTAATAACTATAGGACAGTGGTTTCCAACCTTTCTGACCAGGGACCACTTTGATCAGGGACCACTCTCCAACATTAATACTAAAAGGGTTACAAATCATTTGTCAACTTTAGATTCAGTTTCATTATTGGGGGTGCTAATTCAAAAAATTGCATTGGATAGACCACATCAGCTCTAGCTTCTGATACTGAACACATGCCGTCCAGTAGTTACTATCTGCTTGTCCACAGATAACTATATAATAATCTAGAGCTGATATGGTAGTAGTGATCTTTCGTGGGTATCAGCCTGTCTCCTCCTGACATCCCTGTTGCCTTGGCACTATAAGAGGGTTTCAGGAGACCAGTCGCTCTCATTGTCACATGGTTTCGAGGCAACGGTGAGTAATGATGAGACCGTGGACCATATTTTCGTTCGTGAGGACCACTGGTGGTCCACAGACCACAGGTTGGGAACCAGTGCTATAGGACATCCAATTGTTTAATCTTTAAAAAACTCCACCAACAGAGGTGAAACAAGTCCTGTAATTTTACAATTATCAACTGTTCATCTGATATATACCGTATATACTCGAGTATAAGCCGACCCGAATATAAGCCGAGGCACCTAATTTTACCACAAAAAACTGGGGAAATGTATTGACTCGAGTATAAGCCGAGGGTGAGAAATGCAGCAGCTACTAGTAAGTTTCAAAATAGAAACAAATACCAATAAAATTACATTAATTGAGGCATCAGTAGAGTAAATATTCAAAAATATTTACATAAAATTGTAATTTAAGATAAAGCTGCCGAACTCTGATTAAACCATTATTCTAACCTTCTTCAATGTAAATGTGCTTACCTATCCTTCCAATAACAATAAAGGGAGTAAAATAATAAATGTAATAAAAATAATAATAGAGTAAAATAATGGAAATGTAATAACAATAAGAGTGTAAAATAATAAATGTAATAATAACAATAATAAATGGAGTAAAATAATAAATGTTATAATAACAATAAAGAGTAAAATAATAAATGTAATAATAATAAATAGAGTAAAATAATAAATGCAATAAAAATAATACTAATAACAAAGTAAAATAGTAAATCACATTGACTCAAGTATAAGCCAAGGGGAAATTTTTCAGCCTAAAAAAGGGGCTGAAAAACTAGGCTTATACTCAAGTATATACAGTAACTACAGGATTCAGTTATGTCCCATAGCATTCCCTCCTAACCACTCCAAGTTCCACATTGCATTGAGGGCCTTCACAAATAAAGGAAATTATCATATGCAGAAAGCTACCTGATACCTATGGAGACCATATTATTTCTTTCTGAATATTCTCTGAACTTATATTGCTAACTCCTGAACAGGCTCAAAACAACTATGAATCCAGATATAGCTGGTTCTGAATTCAATCTCAACAGAAAGGAAAAACACTTTAGAAGCCTATGGAAAACGCTAGAAATAAATGAGACCTACCATGCCGTCCTGACAATGCCCTGTAGAAAAAGAAATAATGCAATTATATGTGTACACACACTTGCAGTAATTTAATAAAGTTCTTTCAGTGCAGAAAGCAAACTATATATATGGAGTAAATATGTGCCTGGTCATATATATGGTTGTGCATTTATACTAACTGAAAGGTCCCCCAGAGGCTTTTCAATAACATACCATAATCTCCACTGAGTTCAATTGCTTTTGCAATTTCTGTTTCCCTATTTAAATTCTATTTAAGAAAAATAGGACAGATCCTGCAGATGGACAATGGAATCTAGGTCAATAGTGGAGAAGGAGTACAAGATAAGGCTAGGCAGCTTTGGGGAGAAACTGCAGTGTTTTGACTCTTCACAAACATCTGGTCTAACAAAGGCTCATATCTTCAACACAACCATCCTCCTGATAAGGCTTTAGAGCTGTGAAATATGGAGTAGAACACTAGGAGAGTGAATTAAATTGTAAACAACTCAAAAGAGCCATAAGGTGAATACTGCCTGTCTCTGTTGATGATCTGCAGGCAAAATTATGTAAGATCACAAAAGTCTGCATTACTCAAATGTGAACCATGTCAATTAAGCATACATTTTAAAGATATTTCAAGGGGGAAAGTGCTAATTTAACATTTATTTTTCAAAAGCTATAAAGGAAGAAAGGGGACCAGTTCCTTAGGTTTCAGTTTGGGGACTTAATTGTCTGCAATGCAATTCATTAAAATGTAACTCCTACAGTGCCACTAGAACAGATTTTGGAGGACAAAATCTGTAAAAAGGAAGAGAAAATCACCCTTCCTGGTTGCACAGAGAGAAGCAGTTCTGTTCATGGAGACATTTGCTGGATTTCACTCTCTGTCAAAAGCAAACCTTCTATTAAAACCCTGAATAATGAGAATTAAATGTTCAGCCCTTGAATTTTCATCAGTCTATAGAGATTTAAACATACTCTGTGTTGCCAGTTATTTCCTCTTGGATTTGTCGGGACTGGAGGATCCCTTCACGTTTCTGTAAAAAAAAGAAAAGTCATTTATAGTATTTAGCACTGTATGCTATTCAGAGTGAATGTGTCATATCCAATGCTGTGCTCTATGAAATTTCCCTTTATCTTCCACCATGCATCTAAATCTGTTCCAGATGATCTCCAAACCTTCTTGATTACATTTTTGGGGAGCATAGCTGCAGGTGGAGTAACTGTTGGTTTCCTAAACTTAGAAGAAAAACAGTATTGCAGAGTTCATAAACACACATAGTCATTTGACAAACTGAGTGGAATGGTTTTGCTATAAAACACCGCCAATGAGGTTACCAATTCATAGATAACACCAGCCAACACATATTTTGACACATCAAATGTGAGATGTGTTTCTGGGTATATTGGACTTGCTGATTCCAAAAAATGGCACCAGTTTCCCCCATCAGCTCTAGTTTTTGAGATATAGAACATATGTCATCTACCTGTTACCATAGAAAAACCATGTTAACCATATTTAAGGAATTAGAGCTGGTGCAGTCTATCTAATACAATTGTCTGCAATAGTAGCTCAGATGACTCTAGGAAAAGGCCTAAAAATAAAGACATCAATATTTTTTGCTGGGCTGTGTAATTATGGCTATCAGTCCTTAATGACATTTCTGGTATTGTTCTTCAAAAATGCAGCAAATTATGGCTCAACATGTAGCCTGTTCCCATATTTTGTGACTACTAAAAAGAATCAGAATATATTTCCTAGAAATGTTGTCTGAACCAAACACACATAAATCTGATTCCAAGCAGGTACAACTGGACTGTTTTCTCAGTAACCAGACTGCTACATCCTTTGCTTTTTTCCTGTTATTCATATTTAAATATAAACTTGTACTTATGTTTCATAGGGAGGAAAAAACTGTTTGAGTTAAGCATATCTGTCAAGAAAATCAGTTTAGAGTTGTCATGAAATTCCTTTTCCAGTCTGTTAAGGTTCCTAATGGAATCTAAAGAGCCTGGAAGTGAAATACTGGAATTCTGCACGACACTTGTACAAACATCCCAGAAACCTTAATTAACAAATCACCAAATACAAAAAATGGTATGAGAGACATCAAGTCAGGGAGAGAAGTTTCATGTTTTGTATAACAGGATTTCTCCTGTTTATAGTTCAACCAAGCTAAGTTTTTGCCCCAGATACTTTAACACAGGACTAGCTCAGTAACAGAAGAAAAGGAAGGAGGAAGAGGAGAGATGCGATATCACAGAATTGTGTACATGCACTGTTGGGAGAAACATAGACTGATCATGATCAAAACTGCCATCATAAACTGAGGAAAACTGCAGCAAGAACCAGAAAGAACTAAGTAAAGCATAAGACTGAAGATTGCAGAACATGACTGACAGGCATTCAACAAGCTTATGAAACATCTACATTTGTAATCAGATTTCCTATTTATTAAACCTCTGTTCAGTGAGCAAACACTGATTACAGAGTATTCAACTCAATACTTCATGCTTTACAGAAAGATGACTAGAAGAAATGAAATATATTAATTCCAGAAACGATTTCTTGGTAACTATGATCTGTACTGTAAAAGAAAATTCCAATTTGGTTGCAAACGTATTAATGTTACAATTAAGTTGCTATGCCATTTAAACATTACAATGGTATAAGCTTTCTGTTGAAAGAAAATATGGTTCTTGTCTCTTTTCCACAGGGAGGAAATGGTGATCAGATTCAAAGTATACATGTTCAATTAATTGCTTTTACATAGTGTTCAAATTCCTAAAAATGCACAGAAAATATAAAGTTCTATTATTCCTACCTGGACAACCACAACTTGAATAGACACGTGATCTGGCAGTCTGATTGGGGCCCGAAAGTACTGTGACAATGCAACCAAAAGGTGTAGTATTGCAACTAGGCTTTTTGCGTGGACAGCTGAAATAGATTAAGAACTCACATTATGTAAAACAAACTAAAATAAATATTTATTTTCACATGAAGTGCCCCCTTCCCTAGCTATGTGGGATATTTTATCCTTTGGCATCTTTGCCCACTAGAGATTGCTGAAAGGGTATTTTCCTCTGTTTCTTTTTCCAGTCATAAATCAACTGGTCTTATGAAAACAACTGAATCAACAATATTCTGAAGGTTAGATTTTGTTGTATGTTTAGATTCCATTTGATGGAAAGATAGAAATCTAAGCTTGATTCAAAAGGCAGATTTTATTATGCTGCTGTATTAAGTGCTATCTATGCACTCCTTGTGTTATTCCTTTATCCTCACTATTCCAGTGCAGATTTATAAACGATGAGAAGGGTATTTCAGTATTCATAACATGCACTTAATTCATTTTTAAGTGTCACAATGTCTGCAGGAAGATGAATGAGCCTATTTAGCCCGTACCCTTGAGCAATAACTTACTAAACTGAATGACTCAAACATTCCTCATGAACTTGTTAAGAGCTCTTATTATTGCAGCTTATTCACAGCAGGTTTTTTATGTGTAGTTAACACCAATAAGACTACAAGGTATATATTAACAAGACTTATGGTAGGAAATTTTAAATCTTTGGCCAAACTCTTAGCATCAAAAGAAATAATTTAAAATGATATTGTAGCAGTAGCTTTCTTATTACTGTTTTTCTGTAAACTATATTATGATGCTTTTAACACATTGTCTTACAGATGTTAGGGAAAACATTTTATGGAAAACATTTCAACAATCACTTCTGTAGTTGTTGTTGCTGCTAACACTTTCAATTGCTAGGTTGTCTACTTATTGTTGAACACCCAAAATGAGAGACAAACCAATGAGAGCTCCCCTTGTACCCACTGTCAATGTCCTCAAGATCGTACATATTTTTGTGCAGAAGTTCCTGTTCAAATCTCCAACACAATTTATCCAAATAAGGAAAAGTTGAAAGCTTCTTTGGAGTGGCATGGGGGGATATACTATGCCTAATTTGCAGAACAGTGGGTGCACTCAATAAAACATTTCAAATAACAAGACAACATTCAATTTAGCAAACAATGATTTAAACAGATTAAGACTAGTTATCTTCAATAGCAGCCTTATATGTAGCACACTGCAGTAGCCTAACTGGGAAATTACCAGGTCATGGGCTACTATTGCTACGTTAAATCCTGGTTTGCTGGAGTCCTACACCAACATTCAAACTACACCATGCTGCCACACTATGGTACTCAGCGTAACTAGGTAAAAAATTATATTGGACTGGCACTGGTGATTGGAAGGTCCTTCTAGGACACTTCACTTGGTGAACTTGGTGTGTCAAAATTCAGCAAAAAAAGAGCATAACTCAGGTGGGGTGTCACTTCAAGAAAAAAACCCCATAATCTCACAATATTTATAGTTTAAGATGTATAATTGTAATATATAACTGTATTTAATAAACCAAAAAACTAATTATTTAACTTATCTGCTTCGTGATTTCTTTGTTCATCTGTCAGTCAGTTTCTTTTGTTGGTCTTGATATTATTACTTAGTTCATGGGGTGCCATGAACTAAGATAAGCAAGGGGGAGGGGGAATTATTTAACTAATCTGCCTATTAGTGGCGGGAAACGGCACCATAGCACAGGCCCTCACCTCTCCCAGCCTCCCCCTTCACTTATCTCAGATGCTCTGTGCCAGAGTTCTGTTGTTTTGGCCTACAGACCTCTGACATAGAGCGTCTACACTACACTACAGCAAATGTTTCATCCCCAGCTACTGCACCTGGCCGTGCAGGAGCTAAGGATGAAATATCCGTCTCGGTATATGGCCCCACACTTCTCTGTATGCAGCTGCATGTGGCCATGTGCCATTAAAAATGGCTAGGTGTGTCAGTGCTGATACACATGTCATAGGTTCACCATCACGGTTTTAGGAGCTACCACCAATGATCTAGCTGCTGCTACTACTCTCTTACATTAAAGAGTTTTATAATGTGCGAGGAAAAGTTCCCAATGCATAAATGTGAGGGAAATAACGTATGTCTTGCCATGTGCATAGTGGATCGTTATGTAGTACTGTGGGTACATCAGGACTGAAAAACTTTGAACTTTTTTGTGCATGGTTATTAATAGAGCTATGTCAATAACTTGATACACATACACATACACATAATTATTTCTACTTATGTATATATTTAAATTCTAGACTTAAACTGAATTCAAAATTCTGGATATAAAATCTCCTGGTAATTAATTCTAGTTTTTATCTAATTTAACTGATTTTACGCAATGCGATAGAAAAATGTAACATTTAATATAATCAGTAAGGAAGGATTTCACTGTAAAATGTGTAACTCACAGTCAACATTCCACTTGATGCTCCTCGGAGGAAGTTTAAGGGTTTCATTGATCTTTTCAAGGACTGTCTGCAACTTCTGTTTCTGAGCTATTTCAGACTGTGTGACTTCGGCAACATTGAGTTTCTCACTCTCCAGCTTCTCTAAAGTGATAATGGAAGAAAAAGCAGCAAATCTATACCACAGCTCCATGTATCCAAGTGCAGTGTAAAGACAATGTGTTCCACACAGAGTTTCTATCAATAACTAGTTTTATGTTTTAGAACTCACCTTTAAAAATTTCTGAATTCTAAATAGTCATGAACAATGCTTGGCACAGATTTTTAGATTGTTTACTAAAATATTTAGACTTACACATGAATTTATAGGGCAAATGACTTCTTGCTAAATGTAGATATTCTAGAGTGCTAAGTATAGATATTGTTAGCAGACAGTATTAAATTGGAGTTAGAGGTGATTATACAGCTTGTGGATTTATCATTGTAAAAAGTGGAGTTACTGGGAAATTTAACAAATATGTTGTTCAAGGTCCCATCTAGACTGACCATTTAATGCAGTTTGAAGCTAGTTTCAAACTGTGGCAGCCAGTCAATAAATTCCCACAAAAGTGCATGAAGGAAAACCCTTAATGTGAATCAGTGCTCTGTGGTTTGAGTAACCACTTTCAGGATCTCATACTGGTTCCAGGATTTCCTATGTAATCACCTGCACAGTGAAACTATTTTCTTTAAGAACGGTTTTAAAGTGCATTTAATGCTCAGTGTAGATGGGATCCTAAATTCCATCCTGGAAGAAGAGATAAACTTTTTTTTGTGTCAGAAGTAACTTGAGAAACTGCAAGTCACTTCTGGTGTGAGAGAATTGGCAGTCTGCAAGGACGTTGCCTAGGGGAGGCCCAGATGTTTTACCATCCTGTGGGAGGCTTTTCTCATGTCCATGCATGGGAAGCTGGAGCTGACAGACAGGAGCTCACGCCATCTCACAGATTTGAACTGCTGGTCTTCAGGTCAGCAGTTCAGCTGGCACAAGGGTTTAACCCATTGCACCACTGTGGCTCCTTAAAGATAAACTGAGGAATATGTTAAGCAAAGACAATGTTAGCATCAGAAACAGTACAAAGATTTAGCTGGGTGTAATTTCTAATCCTGTCTAAACAAAGTGCAGAGGATTAGAAACCAGGGAATTGTCATGCCTAACTCCAAATGATATGCCCTCATAAGGGAAAAAGAGTGTCCTTCTTACCAAAGAGTTTCTGCAGCACTTGTCCATCATACATGTCTTCAGCAAGGTCTTTTACAATGATTCTTTCTCCCACTAGTACATCATTAATCCAGTCAATTAGCACCTGGGCAAGAGACAGATTTAGCAATTTTACACATGTATATTCAAAAGCCTGAATGATATCAGAGAGAATTGTAAATATTCAGAGCAATTCATCACAGGTGTAAAATAAGTTACAGTGAAGTTTAATTTAAAAACATGATTTTTAAAATTAGGTCCAGGATAGATCCCTGAAATGGATATTATGCCTAGGACCCAGTCTTTTGGCTCTGTATAGAGTTGACATATCATAGAAGCAGAAACTTATATCCCTCTATATCAAATATACTGTGCAATTACACCTGTAAGGTTTATATGAAAAAAATATATAATTTCCATTTTGTGGAATATGAACCCCAGAAAATACCTCAGGCATCTTAGTAGCAAGTGTTTAGGATTAGTAATAATAATAATAATAATAATAATAATAATAATAATAATAATCTTTATTTGTACCCCGCTCCATCTCCCCAATGGGGACTCGGTGTGGCTTACATGAGGCCAAGCCCAAAACAACAATTACATGAAATAAAAACAAAACCGAAAACACAAATAATAATAATAACGCAATTACATAAAACAAAAAACAACATAGCAATATAAAATTACAATAAACACAATCACGGTAACATGGGCAATTAACTTAATTTTAAAATTGTACCATTAGCAGAATATTAACAAGTAAGAGAGAAATGTGTTCTCCATCCCTATCTTCTCTCCACTCCTACTCATGCCCCAATCTGAAGAATAAGAATTATCCCAGCCTTTGGTGCATATTCAAGGATAGCCATGTTGGCCATGCAGCAAAATCCACTTTCTGTGGGCCAATAAAAATTCACAAAATATGTCCTGCAAGCTTTTGAAGCTTCAGTGTTTTCTTCATCAGGAAAAGATGTTTGAGAAATCATATAGGATAATAACAGCGATTATGTTAAGAGTCACAGGTCTACATTTTGTCTCAGATGTTACTTCTGTTGTCAGTGAAAAAGACCTAGAGGACTATCACATCAGGCAAAGGCCCCTCCTCTTCTTGGCCATGTAAAATAAACAACAATAAAAAATGGAGAAAATAAAATCCAATCCAGCAGGACAAAAATCACCAAGCTTTCAGTAAACACTGATTAAATTCTGAAAAATACAATTTGTTGTTTTGTTATCAGAAGCATTTCTGATGGAAGTCTGAATTATTCCATTGTTGTCAGTATTTTATTTGCTCTGGTGGATGCACTTTCCAGAGATTCTGACAGAGAAAAACAGCAGGATATGTAATATTTTAAATAAATAAGGAAATAGCATAATCCAATGTGAAATAATAAAAGAAAAGAAAAACTCAGTAGGGTTTGTTCCATATCAAGCTTGTCATCTTTGAAGCATTTTGCTTTAAGGAATCTATGGTCTGCAGGTTAGATGTTCCAGAAGACTGTGAAAGGACTTTTCAAGGAAAAAGGGAAGTTAATTACATGAGATGAATCTGATCCACTGGATTTAAATACCATCAGGAAATTGAATGTAGAATTAGTTACATGAAACTGACTTGTTTTGTATTAATAGAACAGTCAAATCTTGATATCATTACCTTCATCAGCTCCTGTAATTTTGGATCACTTCTTGAATTGGGATCTATCATTGTCCGGACTTCATTCTCCTCTTTGAGAAAATGTAGGGAGAGACGGGACACTCATTAGAAACAAAAATACTAATGAGATTTGGTTTATATCAACCATCTAACATAAAGCTAAACATTATTTAACATTACCTAGCATAGTATCTTCAGGATCTAGTTCAAAAGGAATTGGGCTGAGTGGTAGATTAATGGCATTGATTCCTTCTTCTTGTAGTTCAGACACTGAGGGAGGGAAAAAAACAATTTAATGAAATTTGATTTATTTTTTCAGCAGTAGCGACCTCAAAGCCTTATTTCCACTTTTTCTAGAATTGGATATGTATTAGTCTGTACTTTTCCAGATGGATTGATTTTTTTTTGGCTTTTGTTTTGTTATTTTTAAGAACTCTTACAGTCTGATCTAAAGAATATGTATACATACTCAGACATCAGAAATGCAAAAATTCCTTGTATTATAAAAGTAAAGAAATGGGGAACTATTTAGAAATATGTACATTCTTGGGCCAGAAATTCATTTCAGGCTTGCATATGAATTAAAACGTATCTCCCATGAATATGGGGATCACACTGTTCAAGTTGAATGTGCTGAGAATTGTGTGGGTGTCCAGATATTGTTGAACTGCAACTTCCAGCAGACCTGGTGATCAATGCTGGGAGTTGCTAGTCAGCAACATCTGGAGGGCTACAAATTCCTAAAATAGAAATAGACCGTTCTTTTGCATTCTCTTCATCCTGGTTCTGATATAGATACACAGCCACGAGAATAGCAATTATTTGAATTTCAGGTGTTAACTGTATAAAAATGAATGTTGCCATTTAACAATACCCATATTCAAACAGCATAAACATTCAATTTAACTAACTGAGCTTCATTTATTACAGATATATTATTTTGATTAAATAGTTCATCCAAACACATGGTTTGGAAACATACAAGTTGTATCACATGCATATGAGACTTTGTTCTGAGAAAAGTAATGAAATTATGGAACTAACAGTTAAATGTTTAAATGTGTGATTGGAAATTAAATATTGACTTCAAAAAATCCATAAACATATATTTGCAGCCATGCAGGTGGCCTTTTATGAGGTGCTCATTCAAAACAGTGTCCTCAGAATGTAAACCTCACATTGTTAGGCAATAAGTACTAATTCATTCTCAAAAGATGTAATAAATTAGGTAGAGGAGGAACCCAACCCGAGCACAGATATGTTTACAACTGAAAATGTTTTTCAGCAAACCATCTGTGGCGAAGCACTGTCTCTAATCCATTAACTGCTGACTCCAAGCCAACCACTTGTAAAAGTGAATATGCAAACAACATGTATCAGTCTGATGGTGATGCATTAGTACACCTTCCAAAAAGTACACATTTTCTATGACTGTCTCGTTTTTCTCTTAAATAAAACATAACAAAGGGGAAAGAAGACAAAACTACACAAGCTAATTGCTTTCTGCATAATATAAATTAAAAGCCTAATGCCTTGAACTTTTCCCAATTGTTCAAATTTGTTCCATCGAGCAGTATTTACTGCCATCTGCCTAAACTATTACCTTTTCCTGCTGTTCTGTTACAGAGAACAAATAAATATTACAAGGTTGTTGATCGAAAGACCATAACCAAAGGATGTTCTCTATCTAATGATTTTTGTGGTTAGATTTCAGAGACAAACTGGCTCATTTCAGTTCTCAGCTCTGAGATCCAGGCGGCATTATACCTGTAATTTATCCCAGTCTCCCTCAAGAGGAAAGAAAAGATGAAAAACAAATATCCCTTCTTCACACAGAATTGAAATAGTAAGAATTAATTTGTCCTGATTTGACTTCTAACAGGGTTAACACCATATTCTTCAGAATGTACTTAATGAAGCGCAGGTGTACTTCTCTCAGTCCCACCTACACCTCCATCTCAAGCTCAGTTGGTGGGAACGAGAGGGCGGGACTTCTTTCTCGGTGGCTGCCCCGTGACTCTGGAACTCCCTTTTCCCCAAGAAAGCCAGAATGGCCCCCTCCTTGCTGTCCTTCCAGCAGTAGGCTAAAACCTTCTTATTCATACAGGTTTTTAAAGAAGAAGGTTTTTAAGATCATGTCAGGGGCAGCTGTGGTTTTATATGTTTTTATGGATTTAATCTCAATTGTTTTTTATACTAATGATGTTTAATAGTGTTTTAAAATGTGTATATCTATTGTAATGCTTTTAATGTTAGCCGTTTTGAGTTTCCTTTGTAAATAAACATAACAACCAGAATTAACAATAATAATAATTTCTAAGGCTTTTAAAAATTGAGATTTCAGAGGTCGGAAATGGTAACTGGATGTGTCTGAAAGATCACCAACCTACAGAAACTCATCACCATAAAGGATGATGAATCCATTCCAAGGTTAGTCACTTTGGAGAGCATCTTTAGAGTTCACATTAAAACCTAGAATGGCTTTACTGCCTCACAGATATCAGAATCACAAGCTGCTCTTCTGGGATAAAAGCTTTTAGAAGGGGGCTCGTTGTTGTTGTTCATTCATTCAGTCGTTTTCGACTCTTCATGACCTCATGGACCAGCTCATGCCAAATCTCCCTGTTGGCTGTCACCTCCCCCAGCTCCTTCAGAGTCAAGCCAGTCACTTCAACTTAATTGATCAGCATAGGCAAGTAGTGGTTAGAGTTGCATCATCCAGTTGGCTGAATTGCCCCAATTCAGCTGGCTGAATTGTTATAGAACAAAACTATATTATGGAATGGTTGAATTTTCAGATGTAAATTGGGAGGGGGGAATAGAACAGAATAGGGCAAAAATGCTCAAAACTATGTGCTTCCCCCTTTCTATTTCTTGCTTTTATCCTTTTTCCTCTTTGTCTGTCTGAACCCCACTCCCAGCAAAATAGCATCCTTGGGTATTGAAACCAGAGGGAAACAGGGAGGTGGTGCGATCTATTTTTGGCAAGAGTTTTGGAACAAAGTGGTCTAGTGTGCAGACAATTTATGAACTGATACATTAGAAATCGTTATGCTATCAGGCGCCAATTGTTGATGCACACAGCCTTACTTCTGGAATAAATTAGGACTTAATTGTACAGATACAATCCTATCTGATCCCATCCTTACATTATGAATACAGTTATTTAAAGTATTCAATTCATTTCACATAAAACAAGTTTCATTGAAGCCAGTGGGAATGAACCTAAAGAGAAGAGTCTAAATAAGTCTTACTGCCAATGGCTTCCATTTTTTTCTCCTAATGCATCCTAAACATTGTACATTACGAGAAAGAGAATTGTTGTTTTTAACTACCCAGCTGTCAGGGGTTCAAGACTTGCCAGAAAAAAACAAGGACCCTCCATATTCACAACATCTAGCTGCATATTAACTAAGCAGATGCGGCGCCATGAACTGACAGAACAACAGAATCAGAGACTGTAGGACAGAGCAGCTGGCTGCACTTCTCTCAAACTAGCTTTTCCATTTTCTGATATGAAAGCATGAGCAAATAAGCAATCATGATGAAAGATAGCTTCTTTGATCCTTCCTTAACTTCTTGAGGTTGTTGCCAGAACAGACACAAAGCAACTGGTAAGTAACTAGTAGAAAGAGAATGATTTGCCTAATTAGCAAATAAATTGCTAATTGCGATGCCTGGGTTTGGGGAAAATGCAACAGGGAACCACAGTCAAGGCAGTTGCATCAGTATCAGAACATTCAGGCCAGTTCTATAAAATCCTAAAAACCATTTCAACCACATGCACTCATGGGCTCATTGGGAACAGATCCCTGCAATTAAGCCCTAAGAATATCCTTAGCCCAGTTCACACTTGGATCCAGAGTTCCTCTTAAATGGTTAAAAGTGCTCCTTGCATTTATAGTTGACTCTGAGATTCAGCAGAAGCTCTCCTACAGGAAAGATGCTTCAACATGCCACATTTTATGCAGCATCCTCTCATATTTTCCCTTTTCCATATGAAATGTATTCAATTTAAAGCCCAATTCATTCTATTGAAGAATGTCAAATTTGAATACTTGTGTGACAGCGTGTCAATAATTTGAACCCTGAATAATTTGAACCCTGAGATAAAAGGAGTGGGAAGAAAAGTCATCCAAACTTCTACTTGTTTCAAGTGAGTGGAAAAGGAATGTTTACAGGATCTGGCCACGAGTCAGTGAGAAAGGTACAACCCTGCACAAACCCTCCATCCAAGCAAATGCAGAATTTCAGTTACCTGCAACTTAAAGTCTTGCACACACTAGTCTACTGTCCCCACTGGCATTTTATAATATGTTACTGGCTACAGATTTGAAGCATATATATTTAACTTCTCTTACAGATGACTTTTCAGTATCCAAAAAATCTCAGCTGGACTCACAAAGTTCTTCTCTGGGAGAAAGGCATCATATAAATTAAGTAAATAATACAAAGAATAGTTGTTCATTCACAAGTGCCAAAACTCTCTAAATATGGTAACTGAAGTTCAGCAGAAGCTCTGTTCAAAGAAATGAGTGTATCTACATTTTTCACTCCCTCTGCAATTCTAGGACACATGGAAGCTTTAAGAAAAAAAGAGAAATCAACACACTTTCTCAGGTAAGAACAACCCAGAGGTGGACTTTTGTTGTGAATTGCTATCCATATAAATTGTGAATTGCTATCCATTTAGTTGAAGAAAACTTCAAGTGAAGCATACTCAACCAGGAAGTTCTATTTTAAGAAGTATCTGCTCTGAATACCATAAAAATGAATATGCAAATGCCACTTCAGTTTGTCTTTTGTTAAAATATGAAGACCACATACAGAAACTCACAGTAAATTTTCCTGAACATAACTACCTATGTTCCTTGACAGTCATTTTGAGAAATATGATCAAACATGCTTAGAATACAAGGAAATGGAAAGCACACAGGAATATAAATTGTGAATAATTCTTCCCAGATGGAAAAATCCTAAATTGAAAAGCACTAAGATAGGTGTTGCTATACCAAATTACAAAGCAATTCTGACTGAAGTGTTTTCCAGTTGACTGTGACAAAAAAAAATTATATTGTATTTTTTGCAGTGCAGGCATTGCCGATCTGAGCATATGAAAATCAGTGTCACAAACCTCAAATGGGAAAAGAATCAATTTCTTAGTACATCTATTAGCAAATATATATATTTATAAATATACTGGCAACTACACTACCAGAATGTGGCAGCTACGCAAGATAATATAAAACAATAACTCAACTGAAAAAAAATTAAAATACAACAAAGAAAAACCAACATCCCCTGTGAAATGCCTCAATGTTTAAAGCAGCAAAATCAGCGAGCATCATAGTAATCAGCACAGGGGTGGGGGTGGGGGAACATTCGGGAGGGCTGTAGCATCCCTTACCTTTAGGGCAAAAGGCTCCACATCCCATTGTACACTATCCAAGCCCTCATTTTACCAGCGAACTAAAAAGCCTACTAATTTAAAGCTTTCCTTTTTGCTGCCCTACGTAGCTTTCAAGTCTGTTTCTCAACAGAATACTCAATGCACATTGCAACTCTCAGCTCAATGCATCGTAGAACAACTGCCTGCCTGCCTGCTTTCCTCCCTGCCTATATAATTTAATATGATGCCACATGAGACTCATACACCATCTGCAAAACAAACTAAGTTTGCCATTCCCATCTTGGCAAATTTCATTCTAGAAAGCTGAATGTTTGACATACAGTACAACCTCTTTTATCCAACTGGCTTATATAATTCTGGGGCTATTAAGTTTTATGAAGTCCAACATAATTTAAGCAGCAGCAGGAGCTGTGCATATGCCCCATAGTTCATAAAATAGAAATTAAGAAATCAGTTAGAGATTCTAGGGAAATGGCTACTTCCTTCAACCCCATGTTCACTTCTAATGAAGTCTTATCATTGTTGTTATCATTGTTAATATTATTGTTGTTGGTATATTTATTTATATTCCGCCTTTCTCCCAGTAATGTGACTCTAGGCAGGGAACATATTTAAAACGATACAAGTTAAAAGCAACACAGAAGCCAAAATCAAAGTATAAATATAAGATTTAATGAAGAATTAAACAGTATACCAATTAAAACATTGTACTACACATTAACAATATGAAAATGCATTCAATAACCATATACAGTCAGCCCTTTGTATCCAGGGATTCAACCAGGTCCCCCAAAAGGGGAACGACTTCAGTATCTATGGCACTAAAATTCCAGCAGATACCACTGTACAAACTCTTTACAATTCATAAAGACAACAGCACACAGCATCTCTCATTGGTTTGTAAAGGCCTGCAGGGGTAAATGTGTTTTGACCTTGATCATTGTAACCAGCCTCTCTCGTCTGGTTACAATTATCAGAAGGCCCTCTCCTTCATTCCTACCAGACAAGCCTGAAAAGGTGGTTGAACAGAGACAGGTGATCTCAGAGCTCTAATGGATTCATACAGGGAGATATGATCCTTCAAATAATCTGGGCACATGATGGGGTCCTATAGGGCTTTATAGGTCAAAATCAGCACTTTGAGCTGTGCCCAGAAACAAACTGGCACTAAATGGAGCTATTGCAACATGAGAGTGATGTGATCACATTAAATGATACTGTTTCTGACCTCATTTGCAAACAAATTTTAACAGGTCCTATCAAACGATTGCACTTTTTCTCAGCTCTCCCAAGGAATCATTGCACTTACTCTGAGCTCGAACCCAGTTTCAAATTGGTCAGCCAGGGGATTGTTTTTATGATGTTAATTGATTTTAATGTTTTTATTATTTGTTGCTATTGCTTTACTGTGTCTGCTTTATTTGTAATCCTTGGGCTTGTCCCTCTGTAAGCCATCCCGAGTCCCTTCAGGGAGATGGAGGCGGGGAATAAAAATAAAGTTATTATTATTTTTTATATTTGTCCCCTGTCATCGTCATCCCATTAAAAACAGTGTGTGAAGGGTATTTGGACACAGGTTTCATTATGTGTTAAAATAAAAATTGCATGAAATTTGCTGCTTTAATGTGTGATCAGTAACTCAGTAAGCATCCTGTCCCCTGTGCTGTGATGTCTCCTTTGGGGGCGTGTTTGCAGGTGGTCCCTGCGCACCTTGGGATTTTTCAGGAAGGGAGCCAACACCATTTGTCTCTAGCTACATGATAAGAAAAGACCTCCATAACAGCTACTTTGAAGCCTTCAGTCCTTTTTAAAATGTGTTTTCAAAAGAATTTGTCAGGAAAATACCTCAGAATAACTTTGTACAACACAATAGTTATCACTATTTGCTGGTTCATGCCAAATGACAGCTATAGCAGCTCTCTACTGCTTTCCACAGTGCATGCGCAAGAATTGCAAATGTTGCGATACCACACCTGTGAGACTTCTCCCTAGCAGTGTCATGATTGATTGGGAGGAGCAAAGCTCCTGTGGTGTAATGAGTCAAACCGGATTACTTTAAATAAAATAAGAAATTCATGTGATGGGGGAGTATGCATCCAGTCAGGATCCTGTTGTAATAAAAGGTGGGCTGCATACTAATTCGGCATTTTAAACTTTAAATGTGATGAGGTCCGCAGTTAACAACCTGGTTGCAAACTTTGGGTCAACTAAAGTTTCTTGGCATTTTTCAAAGGCAGCCACACACAGAGCACATTACAGTGAGCCCGCCCCCCCCCCCCCATCCATGGATTCTATATCCAAAGAATCAACCATTTTTCAACCATGATTTGAAAACACCCTTTTTAAATCCAAAAAATAAAAATAAATTTTGCTACTTTATATAAGGGGCACACATTTAATATGGCATTTCATACTGAGACTTGGGCATCCACAGTCTCAGTATGAAACCCACTGCCTGATAAGGAATGAAAGAACAATAATCGTTATTGCTTATTTCTGTCACCCCATCTTGCCTCCCCTCTTCACCACTGCTTTCTTCTGTCTTGTTCTTTCTCATTTTCTCCTGCTTCTTGTCCTGCCTGAACCAAAGGGGACCATGAGTGAAACCAAGAGAAAGCAGCAGCAAGAAAAAGAAGAATGGCACAGAGCCAAAGTGAAGCAAGCTGGGACAGAAGAAGGGACAGTGTGTAAGCGAAAGATGCAAGATGTATGAAAATGTGAAATGAGAGTAAAGGGAGGGGAAGGAAGCAAAAGAAGGTTAGGCATGCAAGGAAAGGAGGGGATGGCATAACACAAGAGAAGAAAGATGTGGGGAACAAAGACAAGTGAGTTAAGAGGTGCTGTGGAAGGGAGCAAGTACCAAGAGAGGTAAGCATAAGGTGCTGGAAGGTTTGAGAGAGGGAGGAGCAATGGTATAAGATGAGACAAGGAAGAAACAAAGGAAAGGAACAGGACAAAGGTAAAAAGAGAGGCAAAGAAAGAAGAGAGGGACAGATGTAGAGTGAAAGAGGGAGGCATGAAGTGAGACAAGAGAGAGGACAGGAGAGAAGAAAAAGAGAGACAGTCAAGGCACAAGACAAATTCCATGATCAAGCAGAGATGTGAACATGGGCCTCTGTGTTGCAATCCAGCACCGGTTTTATTGAGGGCCCTTCCACACAGCCCTATATCCCAGAATATAAAGGCAGAAAATCCCACAATATCTGCTTTGAACTGGTTTATATGGCAATGTGTACTCAGATAACCCAGTTCAAAGCAGATATTGTGGGATTTTCTGCCTTTATATTCTGGGATATAGGGCTGTGTAGAAGGACCCTGAGTGGATTTGGGCAAGTCACACTCTCTCAGTCTAGTAGGAAGGCAATGACAACTTCCTCTGATTGACTCTTGCCACAAAAACTGTATGATAAGCCATAAGCTGGAGTCGACTTGAAGGCCACAAGAATGATATGGTCAGTGTTTGATGCAAGTCCATAATGAGCAAACATCACATCTCAATATGAGAGCCATACTCTTTCTGCATGAAGAATCCAAGGTCAGAAGTAGTGTTGGAAAATTCTATTTGTATTACCTAACTTTTCTAGATATCTTTATACTCAGTCCAGTTGTGATGACCTCTTTAGCAGATTAAACAAGCCAAACATACAAGTCCAACATGGAAGTACAGTGAAATAGTACTGCAATGTATAGTAAAGATTAGCTGCGCTTAATTATGATGGTCAGGTAACAGCACTTCAAACTCGTCAGAATTTGAAGAATTTCTGTCAGTATTTTCAAACATATAAAATCCAAATTGTGCTTCTCGGATAATTATTTATATGAAGTAGTAGCCAAAACTGCAGGATCCAGTGGAACTGAAGGGGAATGACTCCTCTACTCACTATAGCCCTTGCACCCTGAAAAAACCCCTAGAGCTAGTTTCCATGTAGACAAAGCATTGTTGCAAATGTCAAAGCATTGTTGCAAATTTTATTTATTTAAAATATTTCTGTCAGCAGCCACTCTCAAATGAATTAAGACTATTAAATTTTTTGTTCATCCTTTTCACTTACTATAACATTTTATCTAGACTAGTATTTTTCAAGCAAAAAGATTCACAGCATTACTTAAACTATATTCATATCACCCTTCACAGATTTTCTCAACCCTATAATTTTCAGCTTAGCAAAAACAGGAAATTTAGCAAGAAGGGTGGGAACTTTGTCTCTCTCAGGTGGTTCTGCCCATCATCTGAAGAAACAATTTAGTGGCAACATAATACTAATAGCTTAATTTGTGAAAATGGATAAATACCATATCTACCACATAACATATTTAGACACATAACCAAAAAAATACAGAAATAGCACTGGAATGGTTGGTTAAAAGGTTTTGTTCACAGAAGAGGAAATTTAATTAAGCCATGTAATGTCAATTACTGTCAGTTCTAATTATATCATGCCTTCCTAGAAATAATACAGATGCAAGATTCTAAAGTTACCTGCATGTTTGATGTTAATAGGATAAATTATCTTGGCTATGAGAAAATCCAGATAGCAGCGTGGAGAAAATGATTTTTACCTAACATCATATGCTGCCCACTTTAATTACTAATAGATCTTCTTCAAAGTGCTGATTACATTAGAACTAGCCTGACTCCCAATTTATATGCACAAACTAATGCCACGTATTTAGCATCACAGCTTTTTTGCTTTGCAAATAAGTAAGCTTTTATTTTAATGGAAACCACCAGAACCATTTTTGTTCACAGTCTTTGATAATATACTCAACTATACTTAGTATGAATTTATCACCATCAGAGCCACTTCCTTTTTCTTTTCTGCTCAGATGGAGCACTACTGGTGAGACATCTCCAAAAAACACAGAATGGATTTACAATATGGTGGTACTGTTACCAAAGGAGGCAAGACAAGCAAGTCAACCAGGAATTACAATTTAACTGGTACTATCATAACTCAAGTGAATTTTTTATTCCCTGGCATTGCTTAAAGAGTGTTTGGATTAAGATTTATTAGACAACAAAACGTTTAATACAGAGAGAATGGTGAAGATCAGGCATGGGCAAACTTCAGCCCTCCAGGTCTTTCGGACTTCAACTCACACAATTCATAACAGCCCACCAGGTGTTAGGAATTGTGGGAGTTGAAGTCCAAAA